TTTATAGCTCAACAACCATAGTAGTGAAAATCATAAATCTAATTAACTAGGATTAACATGCAAGCAATAGTTATTCCAAGAATAAGTCTTGATAGACTTATTCCACTTAACAACTCATATTTTACATAAAATTTTTACAATCTAATCATTAAATTAAAAGTTCTTAATACATAAATCAAATTTATAAATTTTTAAAAGTTTAAAAACTATTGGATACTTTGTTTCATTAATTTAAATTGACGGATTAATCATAAAAGTATTTTATACACTGATTTGAATTAATGGATCATAGTATCAATAGTTTTCAATTTTTTTTTTTAAATTTAGAGACTTGATCTATGCATTAAAAACTTTTAATTCAACAATTGGATCATTAAAATTTGATCTAAAATATGAGTTATTGATTGAAATAAATTTAAAAATATTTACTCTTAAATTAAGTAAATATGTCATATATATATATATATATATATATATAATTACTAAGGAAGAAACTTCTTTTAAGTGTCAAATTAATACCATGGATAGGTGTCAAATCTCTAAATAAGTGATTTATATTGACTGTATTTATCTATCATATTTGATCATGAAGAATTTTTTTTTCGAAATCTAGTATGACCTAACATGTTTGGACCATTGAATTACTACTTATGAGTCTCTTTTTGATATTTTTTCTAAAAATATTTTGTTTTATTCTATAATTTTATTAATTTTATCATGTAATTACTAAAGTTAAAATTTATAAAACTATGTGGATATGTCATGTTACATTTGTATTTAAACTTTTTATTTCTTTTCTTATTCTTTTTGTGTTATATATATAAAGGAAGATTTATTTATTTTAAGAGTAAATCAATTTAAATTTATTTTGTCTACTAATATTGCTGAATTAAAAAAATTTAATGTATAAATTAAGTTTATAAATTTTTAAAAAATTAAAAATTATTTAATATTTTATTTTATTAATTTAAATTAATGGATAATAATATTTTATTATTTTATTATTTAAGAAGAAGAAGAAAAAAAGGAGGAAGAAGAAGTAGAACCGATTGTAGGGGACAAGTTTAGCGAGTTAACAATGAAAGGAAACTGGGATGTAGTGATTGGCATGTTGGAAGAAAACAAGGCATTGTGCAGGATGAATATCAACGAAAGCAGAGGCACCGTACTCCACGTGGCAGTGAACGAGGGGAAGGAAGAAGTGGTGAAGAGTGTGGTGAAAGCAATCACAGAGCACGACATGAGCAAGGCCTTTGAATCGAGGAACGAGAGAGGGGACACTCCTCTTCATCTTGCAGCAACGAGGGGGTTCCAGAATATCTGCGAGTTGATCATAGGAGAGAAAAAAGAGAGGAAGCATTTGGTTAAGATTCACAACAAAGAGGGAGAGACACCACTGTTCCATGCTGCATTGTCGTGGCAGAAAGCAACGTTTGTGTATCTTTGTTCCTTGATGCCCCAAGGTGATAACTATTGCAAACATCTCGTACGGAACAATGGGGATAATATTCTTCACTGTGCCATTCGGAGAGAATTCTTTGGTAACCTTTTCACTTTGCATATTGCATGCTTTGCTTCTCCCTCACTCATTTAAAACAATATTTCTTGCATGCAAAGCAACATACATGTTTTTCACACTTCTTTCCATAAAATAACACTTTTTACATTCTCAAATAAGTCGAAATTCTTCACTGTACCTCACGTTTCTCTTTGTTTAATGTGCTCATGATTTTCGGTGCTGTTTTCGCATGATGCAACAGATTTGGCACTTATAATAATGCACAAGTATCCCGAACTTAACGACGTTCAGAATAGAGAGGGATTCAGTCCTCTCAAACTTCTTGCCACTAGGCCCTCAGCCTTCAAAAGTGGAAGCAATCTGCGATGGTGGAAGACTATCCTGTACCATTGTAAGTCCCAGAAGTTCTTACACTACAGTACACATGGTTATCTACCACTCTAACATTAACATTTTTAGTTTGTTTAAGCATTTCAATCCTTCATCAATTTGAAACGATTTAAGTTTTATAAATGAAGAAAATTTAGGTACAACACTATTATTCACATCAATATTATACATAAATGTATATTAACGATATTTGTCTTAATTATTGCAAATATATGTTATCAAAGAAAAATTTTAATTCTAATTGGAGAAAGTATCAATAATATTATTATAGTAAGTTATCTTCTTTATAAAATCAATCCTCTCATGCATGTTGAATTTAAACATGACAAAGTCATGATTAAGTTTTGTGGTTATACTATATATAATTAATTTCTTCCCTAATATCAATCAAAATATATGCTACATATTACCATTTTTTGAATTCATTGTATTTCTCGTTAGCGTTGTTTTGAATGTATTTTGATTTATATTATTTTCTTCCTGAAGGTATACATGCAGAAACTCTAAACGTGCAAAAAGCAGAGAAAATATACGAAAAAGAGGATGAACCTGATCAAAACAATCAATTTCCAGGGAACTACGACACATGTTATCAACTCTGTTATCTATTTCTACAGTTGATTAAATTTGTTATTCTTCAACTGCGAAATCTTGCTGAAGTAATGAATTCTCTTTTAAATAAACTTGGTATGTGATTTGCATCCCATGTTATCTTTCTTATTGGTATAGATTTTTCTCCTTATTTGCTTCTTATTATTTGCTTAGATAAGAAAAACATATAGGTGGACTGGGAAACTCTTATTTTTTTTATAAGCCAAATGAAATTGGAGAAATTCTATGTTAATTTTATAATTTAAGGGCTTTAATGATATTGTTATTGACAAAATTCTCTCATTTGGTGTGTTCAAACCATGCACCTATTTACCAAGTATCATTCTAAGGGTAACACAACAACTCATGAAATTATTATAAGATGAATAAAGCTAATGATATATATGTATATAAGATATGATAAGGGTTGACTAAAATGGTTTAACCTTAAATATAAAATTTGTTTAGATACAAGTTTAGAAGAACTTTTAAGAGTTTCTTTTATTTTGATATGCTTAAAAGTCTTACATTATTTAAGAATTGAAATTAAGAATAATTTATATATAAATATCTTCTCTTTTCAAATTTTTCAAAACGTCTTTTCAAGAATAAAATTATAATGATTTAATAAATGTCAAAACAGATAATATCTAAGATACAATAATCCTAACGAGTTGATCTTAAAGATATCAATAGACTTACGATTGAAAAATCTCTATTCTGATAGAGAAATTCTCATAATCACTTCTAACTTAAATCAAAATATACTTTAATCAAAATTTATAAATGTGTAAGAATTTTAATGTTTGGGATATAGTTTATCATTCCATATTCATTGTTTTATGCACCATATATAGATTTTAATTTGATGCTTAATACTATATAAGAAATCTATTTGAGATACCGCTGTTTGTTTCTTACCAATGAAAGCAAACTGCCTTTGAGACCTCTAATTACTACATCAGGAAACAAGAAAGTGGAACGAGAAGGTCAACAGAAACATCAACAATGTCAAATACCGATGCCAGAAGATTCAGTTCTTGAGGTTGTTCCACCAAATTGTGTTACTTGTCTTCAGTTTGTGAGACTTGCATACATTTCTACTCTTGGCCTTTCGGGAGTAGGTATTCACGTCTGTCTCTCCTCTAAGTTGATTTCTTGATCTGTTAATTCTACTGCAAAATAATATTACATCTTAACAGAAAAAAATTTAGTCATGAAAATTAATTAAGTTTTCACAATGAGTATAAATAATTGGGTTTGATAGAAATTAAATTGTTAATATTAGACATTGTTTGTATATATCATCGATATATTTTATAATTTATATTATAATGTAAAACTATTATATATATATATATATATATATTAGACAATTATATTTATATATAAGATATTATCACCACCGTGTTAGTGCAATGTATTATTATATTATTAGTGTTTTTTTGAATCCACATGAATCAAATTTGATAGAGTATTTGATTAAAGAGTCTACAACTATTCACATATTAACTGAATTAAACCCTCTTGGTAAACACATGTTTATGCTCACAGTTTAGTTTTTGCTTAACAAAATGTATAACATTTTATTATTAGAATATAACAATTTTCCTTTTGCAATATCTTAAAATAGTATATTTGAGCCTATTGGGCTTAGATTTTTTTTAATACACCCCTGATGTTCAACACTATTAGGTTTGGTACGTGGATAAATGATAGGTGGTCCTATTAAATGATTTATGATAAATGACCCTTTTTAAGGATGTAGGATAGATATGCTACCATCTTAGAATAGTGGGTTTGAGTTCAACTCAATCCTACAAAATCGACTTTTAAGGTGAGGATTATACTCTACTTATATATTATTTAATTGTCTTATCTTTAATCAATGTGAGATTTAAATTTTTTTCAATACAATGTTGGCTTGCCTTTGTTACATGATTCAAACTTTGTAATAGTTTTCTTTTTCATATTATTTTTGTTTGTTTGTTAAGGGGTTGAAGACATTAAGAACATGAAGCAAAAGCACATATGGAGTAATCAACTTCTAAAAGAATTTATGAAAAACCCTTATGAGATGTATATGGGAAGTGGAGGTCCACCACCATCGGACGTGAGTACTTTTGAACCAGATTTCATTTCTTTGTTGAAAGGTACGTATTCAGTTATTGATTTTGTTTGGATAATCTTTTTATTAAATACTTAAAGAAAAAGAAAAAAATTACATGCAAAATGAATTAATAGCCTATTTGCTTTTTTGATCATCAAATATATTGTATGTCTACATTATTGATATATTTTATAACTTATATTAATGTATCAAATATATATATATATATATATATAGAGGATGATTATAATAACACTGATGTAACTTTTACTGAGTATTATACCGCTTAATAACTTTATATTAAATGTGAATTTTGTAAATCCAACTGTTAGATTGAAAGTTCATATCTCTTAGATCATATATACAAAATTTTATATTAATCTAAGATGATTTGATACTTCATTTTTATAAAATAAAATTAGCGTAATATATTTATTTCAAAATATACTAAAATATGAACATTTTAATTACTTTCAAGTTATTGTCTAATTTTAAAAAAATTTGATATACACACATAAATATGCGACTTAGTATGTATATATATATATGACAATTATGTTTGTATAGGATATTTAAAATGATTTTTACCAACATTTTCACATTAGTCATTATATGCAGTGTCGCTAAAACATTTAAGACTTTTGTAATGGTCAAGAAAAGTATATAACTCAAGTTTAACACTATTGAGTTAGGTAATGATGAATAATCTGATATCAACTTAAAATAGTAAATTATAGGTCTAATTCAACCCTACAAAACAAATTTAAAAGGTGAGAGTTATCATCTACTTATATACTCTTTTATTATTTTATATATCTTTAGTTAATGTGAGATTTTTGAAATAGATTTCATTTCTTTCAACAAAGGTACGTATTCAATTATTGATTTTATTTGTATAATCTTTTTATGAAATACTTAAAAAAGAAGAAGAAAAATTACAGGCAAAATGAATTAATAGCCTATGCCTTTTTGATCATCATATATGATTGACGCAAATTCTACTGAAGCAAATTATAGTGTTATAATAGATTTCGCCTCAATTTTGTGAATTGGACATAAATATATGCATGAAGATAAGTTAGTATCATACGGGTATCTTATGCTTAAGCAATAATATATATATATATATATATATATATATATATATAGGGGAATGCTAATGTACTCCCACCTATTTTTTAGTGGGAGGATCACTATTAGAATTTCTCTTATTACATGCGATTTTTTCTACGAATTTTTCATAAAAATTTGCAGGAAACGTTGTTCCTACAAATTTTTCTGTGAAATTTTATTTGCATGTAATACCTTCGTGGATAATATATTTTTGCGAATTTTAAAATTCGCAGGAAAAATTCCTGCGAAATTTCTTGCGAAAAAAATTCGTAGGAAAGTTTCTTGCAAAAAAAAATTTGCAGGAAATTTTCCTTGAAAAAAAATCCGTAGGAAAATTCGCAGGAAAGTTTATTGCAAAAAAAAAATTTCCTGCAAAAAAAATTCGCAGGAAACTTTCCTGCGAATTCTTTTGCAAGAAATTCTGCAGGAATATTTTTTACGAAAAAATTAAAAAAAATACTATAAATTATATATTTTAAGAATTCATAATCTTTTATTTTCATGCCTCATACATTTTAAATTCTAAGATTGTAGATTATAAGTCTAACACTCAACCATACAATTCAACTTGTAAGGTAAGTGTTGCCCCAACTTATATACTCTTTAATTGTTTTATTTTCAATCGATGTGGGACTAGAGATTTTTTAAAATATTAAACTTATGAATTTAAATATTTTTTTTTATTTTTCCTGCAAATTTTCCGCAAGAAAAATTACCTGCAAAATTTTTCTACCATTTAGTAAACATTACTTGCGAATTTATTTTTGCAAGAAAATCTGCAAGAAACAAAATAAAATTCTTACAATATTTTCTGCAAATTTTTACCATGAAATTTTTTTTCCCATGATTATTAAAATTGTAGCAAAATTTGTAAGAAATATCTGTAAATTATTTTTTGCAGGAAAATTGGCAAAAAATTTCTGTGAATATTTTTTTGTAGGAAAATTCGTAAAAAATTTCTGCGAATATTTTTTTGCAGGAAATTTTGCAAAAACTTTCTACGAATATTTTTTTGCAGGAAAATTTACAAAAAAAATGACACTTTTCTAATAGTGTATGTTAGCAACCTACACCAATTTTTTAGAACAAAAAAACCACTCATTTATTTTGATTTGATTAATTCGTACAAAGAATATTATAGTAATTTGATTTAATTTTAAAGGATATTATAACTGCTGAAATCTTCTTATAAGTGCTAGTTAGTTTAATTATTTCGTCTTGCGTTTTCGATTTACTATTTTTCTCTTTCAGGAATTTATTTTGAAAAAAAAAATTCAAACAAACTCTTGGTCTCAATATTTATAGTTGAATAATGACCTTATAATTTCCTTACAACATAATTTGTTGGAAAATCTAAAAATGCAACTTGCAGAAGATACTGATCTCAAAGACAGGATAGTGACTTCGAATATTGACACAAAGGAGACAGCGATTTTGGTGGCAGCGAAAAATGGCATAACTGAAATGGTGAATGAGCTTATAGATAAATTACCAAGTACCATACATGAAACTAACTCAAATAAGAAAAATGTGTTGCATGTAGCAGTGGAGAACAGGCAAACCCATGTTGTTGAGGCATTAAGAAAAAAGTTTGGAGAGAAGAAAACAAAGTTATGGGATAACCTAATTATTGGTGTGGATGACCAAGAAAACACTGTGTTACACATGGCAGCGTCCCCAACCGATAAGGATTGGATGATATCTGGTGCTGCCTGCTTGCAAATGATTTGCCATATCAAATGGTTTCAGGTACTTATATTTATGATAACAGTAACTCCAACTTTACCTTATGCGACTTAGTATGTAATGCAAGAAGAATATATGCTAACAACACCCTGGTTGAGATTTTTCTTGAGAGCTTAATTTCTATGTATTTTCACCATAGAAATTTTTACGTTGTGAACTTATCTAAATTTATGATATATCTAATTATTATAAAAAGTTAACAAACTTATTATATATAAAAATTGTGATTGAATGATGGTGTAAAAACCTTTTACATTATTAGTGTACATATTATATTGAGATTGATTGGATAAATTTTTTCAGACTTACTTCTATAAATTAAATAGGGATCAAAATCAAAATAAATTTTTCTATAAATTAAAATTAATTTATATATATAAGTAAAAAATAAAAAGGATTTTCTTCTAAAGCTATTAGGAGAAATCTTGTACGAATTAGCTTATACATAAACTAATTTTAATTTATATGAAAGCTCATTTTAATTTTTCTTCTTATTTATCTCTCTTGTAATAAGTATAGTTAAAATTTACTGAAAAGATTCTTACTCTTTTGCAAAATTTCATTATATTATAAATTATCATATATGATAAATTTATTAACTTTGATAATAATCGTCCTAAAAGTCACACTAAAATTAATTTTTAACTGTTAGTTGTGTATAAGAATTTTATTAAATGAGGGGAGTCTTTATCTTCAAATGCTATTGTCTGTTCTAAAGATTTCAGACAGATTATTGTTGGTGCGATTTGCTCGTCTCTTTTTGCCATTCACTCGTCTGTTTTCCTTATCATAGGCACACACTATCCAGTAATTGATTAGTTAACTAATCTGATATGGTTTTCAACAACATAAACATATGTTCACCCTTTGATTATGACATGAAGCAGTACATAAAAGTGCTAGCGCCGAAGCATTTCACAATTAGAACCAACAAAAAGGGAAAAACCGCAGATGAAATCTTCAAAGAATCACATAAAGTACTCGTGAAAGATGCTAGTAAGTGGCTCAACGACGCATCACAATCTTGCTCAGTTGTGGCAGCAGTCCTTGCTGGAGTTTCCTTTGATATATCCAGTACTGTCCCTGGTGGTGTCAACACTGACACAGGTGAACCTGCATTACAAGGAAAGCCTGCATTCAAGGCATTTGCACTGTTCTCATTGATGAGGCTATGCTTCTCCGTCACTGCCCTCATAATATTCCTGTCTATACTCACTTCTAGAAAAGAAATCAAAGACTTCAGAACAAATTTGCCATTTAAAGTGCTTCTCGGCTTAAGTTCACTTTTCTTATCCATTGCCGCATTGTTTGCAACTTTCTGCTCGGGCCATTTCTTTGTGATTAATGACAATTACAAAGAGATTTTATTCCTCATTTATGCAGTCACTTGCATCCGAGCACAGTTTCCACTTTATATTGATTTTGTGAGAGCCACTACAACGAAAGTGCCACTTCTGGAAGGCGATAAGATTGCTGATGATTTATAGAAATGGTTCGTTTGTTCTATTATTATGAGTATAGAAAATTGAGAGTGTGACTAATTCAAGTTTATATTATAACAAATTTTGTCAATTGTTAGAACAGATTATTTGTGCATGTTTAACCTTCATATTATAATTTTTCTTTGGTTCCTCCTGTTTAATTGACAACTAGCCACCATAAAAATGTAAAAGAATTTTTGTAAAAAATATTGACATATATGTACACAACAAAGATCACGATCATCTAAAAAAAAAGATACCAATATAGTGAGATATGAGGACTAGAACTAATGGGAAAAGCCTATGTGTGCAACTATTGGCCTAGCCATATGGAATGTTGTCAAAGGTTTTGACATTCTCGACGCTAATAAGATATGGAAAGAGACCTTTATGGCATAATCTTATCGTTGGCTGCAACTTCTATAATAATGGAGATCATTACTTGGATTTGGGTATGCAACAAAAACAGGATTCAGAAATCAGAGAAGCAAGTTCACACTACCCTACAACAGTCATAGGCCATATGGATTCTCAATTTCTATGTATTGTAAATTTTCTTCTTGTTATAGTTTAAAACATTGTCAAAATGCTTTTATTAATTAATGAAGTTTATACGTTATTGAATTCAGACCTCACTCGTCTAAGTTTGGTTATACATTATATTCCTTTTATGTTACATTTGAAATATTCCATTTATTTTGATATTAATATAATTATTACATCATTCTTTAATTATATTCATTGTCATGATCTTCATTTGCAAAAACTTATATAGAAACACAACACTAAATATAATTCAATTTAAAGTTTCATGAAATTGGAATCAAACCGATCTTTTAGTTTTGTTTGATTTTGTGGATTTTAAAATTTATTATTTAAAAATAAACTAAAAATTAAAATATCATAATATTTGTTTAAGAGCTGTGAGTCAAAAATAAAATTAAAAGTACAGAAATACTAAAACATTTCAACACAATGTATTTAGTTTTGGAATTATCTTATTATTTTATTAAAAATATTTATTTAATATAATTTTAGTTATCATATTAAATATTTTTTCTTACATATATCATTTGTCACTTAAAATAAAATTATTTTGAAATATTATAAATAATTCATAATTTTTTTATTATAAAATTCATTTTAGTAAATTATAATTTTATACAATACATTTCAAATCAAATATATTAACATATATTTAGGGAAAAAATCTTCTAGTAATTTATAATTTAATAACTTACAATTTTATAAAATAAAAAAAAAAACTTTTACATTACGTATCAATTTAATTTGTATACCTACATTATGCATTTGGAAAAAAAAATTAATATGAATATATTTTGATAGTAGTATAATAGATAATTATATCATTCTTTAATTGTTATAAAAATAATCAAATATTCTTTTTTATAGAAAGATGGGACTAATTAAGAGCTCAAACTAAAAAGTACTATAGAAACAACTAGCTGAATTATCAGCAAATAAAAGAATGTAAATCCTAGTTAGGGACATTCAAACATGTGAACCCCATCAGGAAGGTTAAAAGTATGATTTGTCATAGAATCAACAATTTGATTTGTTTATCTGAAGATCACTTTAGCTCCTGTTCATATCAGCAATCTCAACAATAGAGTTGACTAGTGTTATATAGCTATAAGATACATTGCATCCTTCATTTAGGAATTTAACTTCAAGGGATGAGTCAGATTCTATAATAACAAATTTGTTCCAAACTCGTGGAAAGCTCGGGTAAATTGACTAATTTTATAGAAAATGAGACATAATTTAGGAAATCGATGATAAATTGATTTATTTATAAATCACATTAAGCTAGAAATTAACCACTCTTAATAAATTGTGTAACAAATTCTGAATTTTTTTTAATATTTTTTTTTATTTTACATCAATATTTTGAAGTTTTACCTTAAACTAATCAACCTTAGTTCAGAGATAAGTGAAATTTGATAAAAGTTATTTATGTCAAAAATCAAATTTAACTATGAGTTTGAATTTAGTACATTAATCAATAGTGTTTAATTGTTTGGTTATACCACATATTATGAAGTATTTTTACAAAAAGTATTTAACCAAGTGTATCGCTAACAAAATTTAAAACTTTATTTCAAAGAGAAAAAGAAATGATAACACATTCATATAAAATTTTAAATTTGATTAAGGATGAGAAATTACCCCTATTTTATATAGGGGTGAAGTGGGTATTAAGTAGGTTGAATTTGAATGAGTTTGTAATTATTATCTGACTTGATAAAAACTTAATAGATTAGGTTGAATCGAGTTTGTGTATTTTTTTTTAATTCAACTTATCTTAACTCGTTCATGAATGAGTTTGATTGGATCGGTTCAATTAGATTAATATAACTAAATTTATTTATTTTTATAAAATTTTAAATATTTTATAATAGATGCAAATCATTTAATATCTTATTACAAATATAAGGTCATCAATCAATAAAAGAAATAATAATATAAACAATTTAAAATAATTTTCTTGATTTGTTATATTGTTATCAACTCAAACAACTAACATTAATACAAAATAAAATTTTTTACATTGTAATTAATTCAAACAACAAACATTAGTACAAAATAAAATTTGTTATATTGTTATCAATTCAAACAATCAAGATTAATAAAAAAAATAAAATTTAAAATAAATATGTTGTATTATTAAATTGCTAATAACCCCAAAATATGATACCCATTAACTAAACAAGAGTGACAGAGAATATTATTCTGAACAAAATAAATTTGTAAATTTTTAGAATAAAAATTTAATTTACTATTATAAATGTAACATAGTAATTTAATTGTTTAGAGTTTAGTTAATGCTAGAGAGAAGTATATTCCTTGAAAATGGAGTCTCATAAACTCATTCTCAAAGAAATTTTAGAGAGAAGGGCTCTAGGTCCATGAGTTCCTTTCTCTCCCAAATCTTTCTATTTGATTCTTCTTATTCTCTAGATCACTAATCTCTTCTATCTCTTTTTTGAATTCATGCTAGAAAGCTTGATTTTGGTGGATTGAAGTCTGTGGGTCAACTGTTCAAAAAAATTTCTTTTTCTTCCTCTTCTTGGTTGTTCTGAGCCAACTTTCAGGTAAGGGAAGCTAGGATTGTGATAGATTGGTTGCATGTGAGTTTAAAAACTCAATTGATGCATGAATTGGAGATTGATTTGTTGATTTGAGGGGGTTTACCCATTTTCGAGATTTTTAGGCTAAAACAGGGTTTTGGTTGATTTTGATGCATTAAATGAGTGCATGTTGTTTCTAGGACTTGGATTGAACTATTTTTGGTGTATGAATGTTATCTCTTCCATTGCATGTGGAAATTTTCTAAGTTTCAAGTGTGGAGGTCCAAAAACGATAAAGAACATGATGCTCTCTGTTATCAAATGGCTGAGCCGTTTTAAAAGGTTGATTCCTTTAGGGGTCATGTGATAGAGGGGGATTTATGGAACCAAAAGGTTGAGCCGTTTTAAAGGGCTAAGCCCTTTAAGGGCTGCATGACAGGGGAAAATCCTTGGAAGAAAAGCGCTGAGCGCTTTGGGAGGCGCTGAGCGGTTTGATGCTTTCCGTCTTAGACTTTGATGTCTTCATAAAAGTTGTAGCCTTGGATGTTATCTTTTCAATAGTGTTGGAATCACCTAAAAATGAGGTCTAGAACTCCAGTTATGGTTGTTTTAGTGAACAAGGGTTAAGCTATCAGCATTGATTATATCTGTTGTGGTTTTTGACATTTTTAGCTATGTAGATGATTTGTTTAGAATTTCATGTATTCATAAGAGTTGTAAATTACCCTCTTATATTTCTTTTGAGATAGGTTTATCCTTATTTGGATGATTATAACTCTCTATGTATTGTTTTCTTTAACAATTGTTGAAGGTAGATGCATGTTGTTTTGATATTCTATGGTGTTATCATGTGGATTAAAAAGTTGTATGATACTATGTTGTATAGTTGGTTCATATATGTATGATATACGATGTAAATTGGTTCTTGATTCATATGTATGGTTGGTAATGTTTAAACATGATATGATATGTATGTATGTTTATATGAGAATGATATTGATCATAATGGTGGATTGACCATGTATGATGTATGATGTATTATTTGCATGTGATGTCTTGTGGCATGTAACTAGCCTAGGACTTGAGGAGAGGGAAAATTGTTTTTGAACTAGAAGAGCTCGCATAAAGTCTCTTGAGAGTGGTGCTTGGATAGTCCCCTAGGTTGGATAAGAGTGGTGCTTGGATAGGTCACTGATTTTGGGTGAAAGTGGTACTTGGATAGGCCATTGGTTTGGGTGAGTTTCTTCTAAGTTCTTAGCTAGTGTTGGAGCAAGGTATGAGGTCGAGGGTTATTCCCTTAATCAAGTACTAGGGATGTTTGCGTGGTTCCTAATGGATAGGTGGTGAGTGAAATCCATAAGTGACTTGGTAATGCACATCAAGGTCGTGATAAGCCTATACCCAGCTATACTGTTTCAAACGGTGGAATCGGACTTTCAAGTGTGTAAGTGACATCATCCGAGTAAACCTGAGTGTGAATTAATATCTCGGTTTGTTGTGACCGAGTGGGCGCATTAGACGTGAAAACGGTTGGGGTGATTTCGGTAGGATGAGATGTCCCTTATACTGCTCTGTTGTTAAGAAGATCTCCTAGGTGGATACGTCATGACGCATTAGATGATAGATATGCATTGATATCTTTCATGTATTGCTTAATTGCATGATTGTTGTTATGATGAAGCATATGGTGTCTGACTTCATGATTTGGTGACTCAATGATTGAGTAGCATGGATGTTTATTTTTATGCATGTATTATTGTTTATTGAACTCTAGCTAGCTTACCTTTCTGTTTCTATGTAGATGGACTACGATGATCATATTATGTATGAGAGTAGGTCACGGTTAGGTTGGAATTGATGCATCCTTTGTTGAGATGTTGTATGTTTTATCCTAGTGTCGGAGTTACTGTTGTAGTAACTAGCTAATTAGGTGTGCTTGATCGGCACTAGGGTAGTATTACTTTGAATGAATGTATATACATAGTACTACAATTTGTATATAAACATTTAATTTCTTTGTTTTTATCATTTCCTATATATATATATATATATATAT